CCCCAAAACCCCAAAACCCCAAAACCCCAGCAGATATATATTTAAAAAATTAAGTATGAATTTAAATAGAAATTAAAAAATATACTGTCCAGCATTATTTTATTTTTCTTTAGACATATTCAGAAAGTATTGATGAAAACAACTCGAGGCGTTCAGAAAAGTACAATGAATTAAAATTAAAACCTATAAAGAAACTGTAAACAAATTATCGATCGATGTATTGAATAAAAGCAATGAAATGAGGGCACCATTAACAATGCGAACAATGGAAAAGTCGAAATTATCAAACAATAATGAGGGAAAGTCATCTTAAGTCAATATCACTACTGCAGCAGGCTCATTAAATGAATAATCAAGGTTAGTTCTTTACTATTTTATTCTCTCATTTAGCTCACAAAGATTCAATTTTTCAAAGAGGCTAGAGTCTCCTAAATCATCTGACAGTAAGTATTGAATTATTTACATTTTTTTCTTTTTCATTTAAATGACACTCAACGCAATTACTATAGTTTCGAAGTACTTTACTGCTTCAGCTTCAGTTCGAGGAAGTAACATTGGGAAGAAAATACTTCACGAATAAAAATTTCCTGCAGCAGGTAGAGTTAGCAATCATAAAGCTCCTATGGGATATAAAACTTCTTACTGGTATAATAGTCCCCAGATTAAAACAAATGAAAACTTTAATTTTTGGCATGATATAAAGGCTAATGTAGCAACTAGAACTAAATGGGAGGATAATAATCTGAATAATGGTGAATCACCAAGGAACGCCTCGACATTAATAAATCCAAACACTTAAAATGGGTTTGATTTCAAATAAAGTATTAAAAGAGGATCAAGTGAAACTAGGTCATTCAATAGTCAGACGTCAAGGCATTAGCATAATCCGATTAATAAGCATGCTGCAAGATTTCTATACAGTCAAATTGATTTAGGGAGTGATGATGATGATAGCAGAGGTGCATCACCAGCAAGCAACTTTTCAAAGTCTAGGGGAACTTCGTAAACAAAGTTATTATATGAAGGTGATAATCCGAATTTACAAAATTGCTTTTCATAAGGAAGGCTAAATTCAAGTATTAATCAGTAGTAGCAAAGAGCCTCATAGAATGGAGTTGAAATGAACAAATAAAGGCGTATTGATGGTCGATTGAAATGGTTTACTTCATAAATCAGTGATTTACCTGGCCCTAAAACTGAAGTGTTGCATAATGTAGCACAAACTTATAAGAAAGAGTAAAGTGAAGCATCGAAATTATAAAATGAGAAGAATATTCTTAAGAACAAAATATCTTTGGGTAGTTACTACTAAGAATCGAAGTATTTAGAAGGTCATAAACCATCTAGAGCTTTCAAAACCTATGTAAAAGATGTTAAGACTGAGTGGCACAGGAAACCCACTAATGAGCACTCAATTTTGCAAAGAAATATGCAATTATATAGGAAAACTTAGTTGTTTTGAATCATATATGCAAAATGAGTGATTTTATATTGTGAAATTTAAATATTAATTAAGACTACATATATTTGAATCTTTAAATGAATCGTTATTAATAAATATATAGTAAGCCAACTCAAAGGGAAGATGGATTAAGAAGTTTTAGATGCCAGAGCCAAGCTCGCCGCTCGTTTCAATAATGCCGCCCAAATCGGAGGCAAAGGTAATCGATCACCCGTATTCTCAGCTTGTCTATAGGTACCCAGAGAAGAAAGAAGAAGCATGTTAATGTGCAAAACGTGAATGAGGACAAGAAGTTGATGTCTGCCATCAAGAAGTTCGGTATGATTTCCACTCTTCATTTTCCATATTTATTATTTTCTTACAGGAGTTCAACCACTTCAAGATATTGAAGAAGTGAATATGTTCAAGGACGACAACACTGTTGTTCACTTCAAGAAGCCACAAAGTAAGTATTTTGAAGCAAGACCGCGGAATCTCTAACTATTTAAATTATAGTTCAATTCTCCGTCCGTGAGAACCTCTTGGTCGTGACTGGAAACCCAGAGACAAAGGAGTTGAAGGATTTGATGCCTGAGATTCTCAAGCAAGTCGGTCCCCAACAGTTAAACTTCCTGAAGAACATCATCGGCAACATGGATACAGTCAAAGAAAGCAAAGCTGGAGAAGAAGACGAGGACGACGTCCCTGACCTTGTTGGTACCAATTTCGAAGAAGCTTCAAAGAAATGAGTGGGCTCAGCGACAGCGATTGGAGTAAGCACCATAGGTTGATTCCTGAAAACCTATCTCAAGCTAACCACTAATTCTCTCAAAATATAAATGCAGCTATTATTATTCTATATATTACATATCTACGAGTCTACCTTAAATTTCCAGATCTTTTTCTGTCGGGGTTTTGGGGTTTTGGGGTTTTGGGG